TGAAAACCAGTTCATTATGTGCTAGTGTCAACACAAACACATCCTCTCTATGTGAGGTCTGTGTTTGCTCTGACATGTTTAACGTGTTCCACTCTGTCAAAGCCACAGGTTGCGTGATTAGCGCGCGCACACATGCCACACACGCATGTGTGTATAACCCACAACCCCCTCGCTCTCTTCTTCCGCTGTATATTTGTCCACATGTCTGAGGAGCAGTAGAGCAGAGTGGCGTAAACTTCTTTTCTTTTTTTCTTTTTTTTTGCAGCCTTGTGTTTTCACCCTTTTCCCCCTCTTTAACTCCTCTTTACAAATACTTGGATCATCTAATACCTTCTGTCTGTTTAAACTTCAATCTGTACTCCATTTTCTTAGACTTTTCCCCTCTTTTCGATCGTTAGCATGTTGTTTGTTTGCTGTGACTCCAACATATCTGTATAACTGGTTCATGTTTGTTTCTCAATTTAGTACGAATAAGCTTCTATGACCTGTGCTCATCTCTTTTTGATATATTTGTATATTTTGACACTTTTGATGTTTTTCCACTGAGCGAAAAGCGGCCCTTGGGCATAAAGGCCGTGACAAAAAAAACTGTTTGTTTATATGGATTTGTGAGTTCATTTTATTTTAGCGTTTTGCCTCTGACCTCGTTAGCATGTGGATCTGGTCTTTTTTAGAACGAGCGCGATCCCTCTTGTTTAAGGTTATCTGGGGTATTCTGACATAGTGTCGCGTTTCAGTCTTTGTAAGTGCAGCATTATGCTTCATGTCTGTAACCGAGCCAGGTCAAAAAAGCCATGTAGGGCTTTTCTGCGCGTGGAAATAGAAACGGCTCGCTGAGAGACGGAGAAAACAAAAACAAGATTATGAGGCAAAGCAAGAAAATCTGATTAGATGACAAAATTGCCCACTTCGGAACTATTACACACGAAATTGATGTAAATAAAGAAGGACCCTGCTGGGTCTGAAAATATAAATAGCTCCAAACGCGACATCCTACTCTGGTTCAGCCTTTTAAAATCCATGTCTGCACAAAAATCCGCAACTGGCCGAAAGGCTGAAGTGTTTTGTATAGGTCAGGAGTTTCCATGATCTGACCCGTGCATGCATGGCCTCCCCCCCGACACACACAGTCCAGAACCATGCATGTTATGTTGTTTATTGTTTATTTATTTGGATCCCCATTAGCTGTCAGTAATTTGACAGCTATACTCTTCCTGGGGTCCTTTTAACATTATACAGATACACAAAACATATCAAATGATCACATCATAAAGACAATTATACATTTCAAATTATTTCACCTTACATTACAATCTGTTACACAGATATTCATGAATCAAGGCTTTCAACTCAATATTTATATGTTAATTAAATAATCTAAATTTGACCGTAGACATGAATGCAACTTTGTGTGATTATACATCTCTGTGTGGCCCTGTGATGGACTGGAAACCTGTCCAGGTTGTACCCCGCCCCTGACCCAATGACAGCTAATTAAGGCTCCACCTCCCCATCCCCCCATGACCCTATTAGGGATAAGTGGAATAGGAAATGGACGGATGTTCAATAGGTCACCGAGATGTGAAAACAAATAAAAAAATGCCTGGCAGCTGTTTTTATCAACCGGGGTTTAGTTTTCCCCACTCCCCATTTGCTACAGTAAACAACCAACCGTTCAACCATCCTAAAAAAACAGACAATTGAACAGACCAAATCTGGATTTTAAGAAGTTGAATCACCTGAAAAACAAAAGGGAATCCTCTCTTTTTTCTTCTTCAAATTATTTTTATTGAAAGAAATGATAAGATAACACCATTAAGGAATACAGTTCATTTTTCTTTTCTTTTTTTGGGGGGGATAAACATATACTTGTGCAGGTATAACTTCTAATATATCCATACAAGTATAAATGTTGAAGTAGTCACACCTACTACATATACAAAAAACAAAAACAAAACAAAATAAGAACAATAAAAGAAGATAACAACACACCCCATTCCCACCCTGTCTCAGCCCAACATATTAAAAAAAAAAAAAGATAAATAATAATAATACTAATAAAAAAAATAAAAAAACAACAACAGTAAAGTACAGCAACAGGCACACATATTTAGTTAGGAGCTCCAAATCTGAAAAATAAGAAAGAAAACACTACCATTTTTGGAAAGAATTGTCTGGCGAATCCTCTCTTTAAGCCATTCCCTCATTCTGAGATTTCATGAGGTTCCTATGGAAAGAACAAACTTCTTATTAACAGAAAGAAACATTTTCGACATTTTCCATTGTGCAAAATGGCGGCCAGTTGTGACTGGACTATCCTGTGACAAAAAACAAACAAACTGCAAATTTCTATTACTTAAAAAAAATAAGCTAGCAGCACTCCCATTCTTTTAACTACTAATAAAATTTAGTCGGAATTGCTTGCACCAAGCAGGCCCAAGACTAAAATCTGGGTCACATGTCTGCATGCTATTTGATATAATGTTCATTTCAAAGTGGTACAAGGAGAATAACCTCCACAATAAGCTTTAGTCTATCCTTGGTCTGCCACAGCTTTATCTTTCCAGATTAAAAAAATTAGTGTAATATTCCTTTTTCAACATGTTTTTCTGTCCTTTCCAGTCCATTCTTCCTTGCTTCACTCCCATCTCCTCTACTGGATAAATGGTCTTCTTCCTCAACTGACTCATTTTTGTCTTTCCGACCCCAAACTCCCTCATTTCTTCCATATTTCATGATTTCACTGAAAGTACGGGGTAATAATTACACAGCTGACATGTTGCGGGGGGAGCCAAAGGACCGGGAAATAAAAAATTGAACAGGTCTTTTACAGTGATGATGCTGAACAAAAAAATTATGTAGGAAGCTCTTGTGTCAGATAACTTGTGTTAAGTTACACACAGTCGATATTTCCGAATCCATAGGAAAAAAATTCTACTTCCTGATAAAGTGTTGTAAAGACGTATCTTACAGGGAACATTTGAAAAGTATTATTGTTTCACCCGACACATCTAGTACACATAAAAGTTCAACTTTACAGGAAACCATGGTTTGTGTATACTGTCTAAAATTGAGCACTATATACAATGATTGAAATAAAGAGGAATTTCCTCAAAAATGTATCTTAGCTCCTGACAAAACTAAAAGAAAACTGTTAAACAGAAAAATATATATGAATCTATTCCTTGTCAGGGAAACTAAAATAAAAATGGTAAAAATAAACGCCGACTGATGGGCATGCTGTCCACTTCTCAGTAAGGAAAGTAGCCATTGGTGGTCTCACAGGTTGCTGGACAATGCTAGATGATGTCATCACCTGGAGTGTGTATTTGATCATGTCATTTGACCCCAGCTGTAAAAAGGAATTTCAACTTTGGCAAGGCAAATAATAAAAAAAAAAACATTCAGAATATGTTTAGAACTATAAAACAGCTTCATCAAATTATTTCAGAACTTGAATGCTTTGCCCAAAACCACACCACATGAAAACATTTTTGTTAGGGCATATAATTTTGTGATCAGGAGCAGTGGGAACAGTCCCGTAGTTCCCAAAGTTTCCATTGACATCGAAAACAGTAGCTAGTTGCCTTTTTTTGGGGAAGAAAATTAAAGTCTAGGAGGGACAAAGTCCCTTAATTGGCAACAATGCTGTGTGGGATATAGTGACTCCTAGTGGCAAAAAACACTAATTGCAACAAACTGAACATCCTCCACTGGCAAAGGTCAACAATGAACTCTGGCTTCATGACCAGATCATGAAGGCAGAGTTAGGTTTGTCCTGTCTGCTTAGTTTTGCTCACTTAGTCCAGGAGTTCATTTTTGTACAGATTACCCAGTTAACAGTATGCTAGAAACAAAGGAAATGATTTATTGATTTTAGTCTGACTCATGGTATGATTTTAGTCTGACTCAGATGAGTCAGACTAAAATCATGAATGACTACCACAAACATTTATGTATTTTCATGAATGGTTCCATTTTCATCCTTTTTTTTTTTTTTTTTTAAATGAGAGGTTTTAACCCGCAATTGTGATCTACTCTGAAAAGTAGTCTTTCCAGTGAGTAAATTAAATGTCTTAAAAAGGTAAAAAAATTTGCGTGTTTAAAAGAATCCTCATAAATTTCATTGTATTTTCCCACCTTGTATATTTACACTGTCCTCTCTGGGACAGTCACTCTCATTGCAAAATAAATGTTAAATTTAAAAGTGACTGAAGTGAACATTCCAGACTTTGATTTCAATTTATATTCATACATTTTAGTTCCACCGTGCACTTCCAACACCTTTCCATCTTTATGCAAACTACAATACAATGTGGCTTCTAAACTAGCTGATGTGCTTATAAACTTTATTCTTATATACTTTAATATAGTTTGCCAACCAGTGTAACCAATTTATTCTCTATAAAAGTATAGACTTATACTTTTCCTCGTCAATCCATCTTTACAAGAGTTCTCAAAAATCACATTTTCTGTTTCTGACAATAGAATTAAGTTAAAGTGTCAGGTGCACTGGGTCCTCTTTAAATGAAGTTTCCATCCATTTTTTATGACTAAGATATGAGATAACTTGAGCCATTTTTACATTTCTGGAGAGCCAAAACCTGCCCGTCTTAAAACTCTGATAAGTAACTAACTAATGGCTGCAGGAAAGCAGCAGAAGTTACAACATAATAATCGTAATTCGGCGTCCTAATTCATGTCAGCAGGCCCCATGCATGCAGGTCTCTGCAGGGACGTGCGCCAAGAGCCATCTGTCCTGCGGGGGGAAAAAGGAGAAAGATTATGTTGTCCAGAGCGAGATAGGGATAGAGCGAGAGAGAGAAAAAAAAAAAAAAGAGAGAGAGGGAGAATTACGCACACCCGACCTTCTCTGCACAGTTCCAGAGTGGCGCACAGAGCGGTGACAGCGTTCAAAGTGGAAACTTTTCGCCAAAGGATCCTGAGGAAATCTTAATCACCTTCATGTCGTCTCTGTTGGATACTAACCCGCCGATGCTATGGTTACCTTTATTACGGTAGGAACAGCCTTTTTATTCGTTTTCGGTGCGGCGCCTTTTCTCGGTAAAAAACAAACCAAACAAACAAGACTTATTTGGCTCCTGCGGAACTTGACGCCAGAAAGACGCAGAAAAAGGAGAACAATTGTGCAACAAGTTCGACTTGACCTTACCTTGATAGAGGGATTGGACTCAGCAGCGTTTAAAACGTACCGGAGCAGCTTTGGAGTGGTAATAGGCTGGAATTGGCACCATGCTTGCGTCAAAGTGTCCCACGGATTAAACGTCTACTTGATCCAATAAATTAAAAGTTGCGTGATGATTATCTTACTGAGTCCCTCCCCCGAATTGGATTACAAGTTCGTAAACGTGCACTTTTTGAACATACCTGAGGTTATGCACACCTTTCTTAAAAAAAACTCGCCTTTCGCTGTGTGCGCACAGGTAGACAAAAGGGATGGGTAACTTTCACACAAAAACATTAGAGACTCCTGCTTCCTAGAAAAACAGAGGCACGAGTGACACTTGCTTTAACTTGCCTATGCGTTCAAACCCACGCGATAGTAATGTGGGTGTGAAAGCACAGTAACAAAGACGGGGCTATACGTTGAATGTGGCTTTTTTCTTTTTCCGCCCTGGGCTCCAGCGAGAGTTCAGTGACTCTAGTAATTGGTCGTGATTGCACGAAACCTCAGCTTGAAAGTGAATTATCTTTGCACACACGATATACTGTACTCAAAACTTCCCTAAACTGTCTTAGTGATCACTTTGGAAGAGGTGCAAAAGTGGAAACGGTTAATGAATCCATTTACGCGCGAGTCCGACTCGCATTGGGAAATGCAGATGAAATGGTGATAAGTAACTTGTCACGTTGTCATGTTTATGCGTGTGTGTGTTTGTGTGTGTGTGCGTTGAGTCCAGAGGATGAAGTGGAAGTGATGCTGTGTGGTTTGCGTGGCATGGGCACCGCACTGGCTTTGCGTAATGGCGCGCGTCAGTGGGCGTCTCGAGCCTTTGGCGGACGCGTTCCGACCGCGTTTTTGAGTGTGTATCTCTGTGGGATGTAGCTGTTGCAGCGGCGGATTTGACACAGGGGCCTCTCTTGACATGTAGGCACACGACACCAGAGGGAAAACTAGAAAAAAAAACACTCATTAGGGGATCCGTTCCCTTCCACAACTCCGGGTTTGAGTGGGCTACGGAGCTACGTGTGCGTCCTGTTACTTCTTGTGCAGCTGCCGTGACTCAGTTTGAGAGGGATAGCTTTGAGTTAGTTTTTTTCTTTCTGCAGAAGGACAGAGAGATGGGGAGTGGGCGGTCAACAGATGATAGGCGGAGCTCATGGGAAGTACATGAAGTACAGTAGATCGTAAATTTCCTGTTACGCTTCTTGGCACTGAGCGTCACCCTGACGGTACTTTTATCAGCCATGTCCAGCTAATGGCTTTTACATAGATTCAGACGAGTTTAGGGAAATCTATTAAGTAAAAACAGAATCATGGGGTCAATTCGTTTATTTAAAAGAAACATTTTAAAGGGATGGAAGGAATCCGTGGCTTATCGAAGAGTTTGTGCAAGTCTGTACTATAAAGTCAAATAGTTCAATTTAAACTTAGTTTAAAGTCATGATCTCAGTTAAAGACTGAACGTCTTTGGTGTGGGTAAGATTGAATCTTATCTGGACAGAAATGACTGCAGTTATGCGTTAAAGTGTGCAGGTGCAAACGAATGGGACAGAATGGGATTTTGTTGTGGGGTTGCCTCCTCGGTTTCCCCATAACGGATGCAATGTTACGATTAAAGTTTCACTTGAGCTGATACACGGGCTTCTTGTGGATTTATGGCGTCAGAGCAGCCAGTCAAAGTCTTTCTTGTTGGATTATGGATGTTAACCCCTACGTGATCAGTCAGTGAGGGCAAGCGCAGTTTTACAGGTTGGCAGCCAAATAGATTCAAAGGGCAAAAAAATGAAAAATAACCGAAAGTTTCCTCATAGAAAAAAAGAAGATCTTAATGAGTGATATAGAAAGAAACGGGAAAAGAAAAGCATTTCAGTGATTACGCATAAAACCCCTTTCTGCACCAAATGAGCCACTTTAAATGCCCCACCTTTTACTTTATCCCTGGAACCCAACAAAATGTCTGGATGTCTCTTAGATGAAGACCACACTTGGTCCTATTTGTCATCTGAGATGCATTATTCTCGGAGGTCCCATTTTTTTTTAACTTTGGCATCGTGGTTTTACGCAGGCACGCTGACGCCATTAACTTCTTTAGGTCAGTTTCCGGATAAGGTTAAAGTTTGTGCACATGTCACAACCACGTTAAGTGACTATGATGAGAATGTCAAAAGAAATTAAATCAGAAACGGCCTCTATCTCAACCAACAAAATCCATAGTGGAGACTCCTCTTTTTGTGTGTGTGCGTAAAAAGACTGACACACTTTTTCAGGAGCGCTATTAAGAGTGTGCCCTTCCCCCCCTCTAATTTTCTGTATTTTGCATATTTCTTCCTAAAACGACCTGCAGATTAAATCAAAACTCGTTCATCACACTTTCAGAAGTGAATTTTGAGAATGTGGTGAACCCCCTTCAACATGTGATCGCTCTTTTTTTTTTCTTTCCCTCCACCTCTCCCCATGTCGTGAGATTGCTTTTAATCACATTTTCAGCTGACATTTTCCCATTTTACAGAAAAAGTACAACTGAGTGTTCTTGAAATAGCCAAACCGGCTTAATTAGATCACAGACAACTTCACAGCGAGACAACTGAATCATGAAAAGCAAATGGGGAACCACTTGACTTGTGAGCAATTTTCACCTCGGAAAGTAGAAAATCAAATTTTAATCTCAATGAGGCTCATGCATGGGTTGCTAATTGGGGCAACTGCTCCGCTTCTACTACAGCACCACTGCCAAAATCAATCAAAACTGCTGCCAGTGTGTGGAGTCTTGTGCTTTTTAAATAAAGAAAGTCCTCGTTTTGGTCAGACCTGCTTTAGCCTATTCAGGATTGCAGGTGGACTGTAGCCAGCCCCAGTACTTAAATCCAACTTTTGTTACAATTTTACTAATAAAAAGGTCAATATCAGGTCCGTCTGTTGGAATTTGATTGTTTTCTGTGCTGCATTCTCCCCCACCTTAAAGCAAAAGGCCAATTTTCACAACTCAATTAACCCCTGTATTCTGTACCTTGTTCCTGATTTACTTTCTGTACCACATATTAAATCAGAAACCCAGAAGAAGTTTAGTTTTTTAGACATCTTCGCAACCAAAATCTGCTAAGAGGGGCACTGTATCACAATGAAATAGGACAAAAAACCCCAACAACATAAAACTGTTAGTTTTTTAAGGTTAGAAAGGTTTAGGGACAGTGCTATGGATGCAACTTTATGGCAAAAAACAAAACAAAAACAAACCCATTCCATTCCATACACTGACATTTTTAAGTAGATTAACATTGAAATTGTCGTTTTAGGCTTTAGTGGTTGTTCCCTATCACAATAAATCCAAACGACACGGTTGAGGTCAGAAAAACATCTTGGCCTGTATCCTGCAGAAATCCATTAGTAGACTTGTTCAGAACTCTGTGAGTTTAGGGCTTGGTTTGTAAGATTTTCTTGAATTACCTTTGTGTGTACATTGCTTTTTTTTTAATTTAAGCCAAAATTTGAGACTGTTTGGTCTGTTTTTACCAAAAACACAATTGTTGGATGACCGCTTTAGCGTTAGATGCTTGAAAGGGATGTGAATAGAGTAGTGGGCCAGACGTGGAGAATCGGGAAGAGAAAGGAGAAAGAGGATGGACCATAACGGCTGTAATTGAATCCCACTTGCTGAATGCAAGATCTGCTAATTAAAATGCTGACATCTGATCCCTCTGAAAATCCGACCCCAGCTGTCTGGCTAATTTATTAAAGTACACAAATTATAATGCATCCGGATGTATTTTACATGTTGGTCGTATAGTTTGAATATAGAAAAACAGCTTTTTAGTACAAAAACAGACTTGTGAGTACAGGTAATATATGTCAATTTTGCATTCTATAGACCTAACGATTTTCTAATACTGGACCTTCCAGTCTTCTTGGATTTCTTTGACAGTTCTCTGATAAGAGTTTATTTCTGCCTTTTAATAAAATCTTTGTAACTTATCACTCTGCTTTTTTTCCAAGGCGGTCATGCAACATTCAACAGTTTTTTGTTTTTGGCAAATCTCGTCAAATACAAGGCTATGCATGTTGAGATAATGGGTGTTGGTAGAAAGTACGTTTCAATAAATTGCAACTGACCTGCAAATATTTTCCTGAGAATGTTCACTTATTGACATTTTTCATTTGTATCAGACCAATGAAACGGGGAGACCTGAAGCTATCAAACTGTAAAATTGGATCTGATTCAATCCAAAAGAAAGAAAACTGTTTGGCTGTTTAACTATCAGGAGACTTCCATGGGTAGATGTTTTTAAAAAGGATATAAGTGCTTGGAAAAAGACATGAGGGAAGTATGTATTTTATTATGACGTAATTTAGTTTTGGGGGGCAATGAACAGGTTTTCTTTGCTGCACGTTTTTGCTTTTATTTTAGCAGTTTACAGACTTTGGTACAGAGTTCAAAACCTTTATGCACTGTCATAAGTTATTTTTTGGCTTCTTCATCCTCTGTATCATCAGTTAGCCCAAATTCCTTAAAGTAAATTTACCTATGGAACAAAAGGAGGTAAACCCCATCTTTCACTTCACAACTCCAAAAACTCTTGACAGTGTTTCTGCTCCATTGTTTCTGCTCTTCAAATCGCTAAAGGGTTCTGGAATTAAAGTCAAGTGGGGCTTAAGTACGTCTGTAAAAAAAAAAGCAGGTTTGTGTGAAAAGTGGAAAGTTTGTGAGGTTATTTGGGTCAAGTGGCTAAATGATGAGTTGGGCCATTTGTAGCGAGTTAAGTGTCCTGACAGTCTTATTGGATTTTCTGAGTCCTCGGTTTTCATCAAAGCATAATAAGAACCCATTCCCTGCACTAA